TTATCACTCACCTAGTGTGTTGTTTACATACTTCATGATTTTAATAGATGATCCTTATATATGGCCTATATGTTCCTCTTGTTATCTCGCGGCTCGAAATTCATAAAATTATTAACACAAATAATATGATTATTGACACATTTTTTTATAATCAGATTAAGTCCATTCACCTTGATAATAATGTAGAGTTTTCATCCCAAATGTTTAATGATTAATGTCTATCGATTGGGATAGAACAAACTCAATACTAAAGTGAATGTGATAGTGTAAAATAAAGTTTATCAATACGGATATGTGTTTTATCGTGATGGAATCATGACTCACCCGTAGAAGATGTAGAGTGATTAATAAGAAATAAATTTAAAATTACTCTAGGAGTAATAAAATTGAAATTTGCTCATATAATAGTAAATTAAAATTTTACTTAAGCAAAAAGACACAGGACATAGTAAACTTGGCGTTTATGATTGTTCATAATTTTATTAGTTGACATCATTCTAAAGATTTGTATACTGAGTAGTTGATATATATTGAATAACTAGAATATTTTTCAAGAATTTTTATGTTGTTTGTTCTCATGACAAGTTAATTGCAACAATTAATGTGGAGACTAGATCTCTAAATACTGAAAATTATAAAAGGCAAATATAGGCTATTTCACCAATTATGTAATATCATACAAAGAAATGTACCTATAATATAATCACATATGCATTTGTTGTCAACTTGCATTTTGACATTCGAAAAATTGTTTATGCAAGATAATTAAGTTAAGAGCACAACTTTCAGAATATGTAATCAAGATAATTTATCTTGATAATATTAATAAATATTCAAATTGATATGACATTAAATGTCACAGATAGATGGTGAAATCATTACTTATGAAAATAAAGTTTCATGTGTTGATATAAAATATGATACAACACACAAAAATGATTGTGTACATCAAACCGATAAATTAGTGACTGTGATGAAAGCTGAGGTTTATTTAATTATTATTACTATTAATAGTAGTAGCAGTAATAGAATGTTTATCTTTTGTATATATTTTAATTTAAAATATTTAAATATATTTTACCATATGTGAAAATGAAAAGGTAAGCGGTGTCAAATAATAGTAGAGCAATGAATTTAAGAAGAAAAGGAAGTAAGATGCCCCTTTTTTTGGGGGGGGGGGGGGCGGCGGCGGCTGAGGCTGAGATGGTAGATGGAGAAAGAGATTTTCACCTATCTCTTGTGGCTCCACTTTCTCCTTTGCTATAAATATGTATACCTCTTCTCTACCTTTATTGCATAAATGAAGAAATATTATTCTACTTTGACAAAAATGGAAAACAAATCTGCTGAAGAGAAACAACACATCCCTCTACTCACTCCTTATAAAATGAAAAAATTTCAGTTATCTCATAGGTCAATTTCTACTTTCAATCATGTCTTCTTTCTTTTTTTCCCCTTAATTTTGCTGCTCTTTTCATATTTGATCCTTAACTAAATTCATAAGCCTATGATGTTATTTTCACTTTGTGTTGAGTGAATGAGTATTATAACTTCTTCTTCTTTTCCTTATATCATAAAAATAAACAAATATGACCAGTTGCTTATGATTTTAGGCTTGGATTCTTCCTAATTATTCTATTTAGAGATACCCATTTGAATTCTCTCTTTTCATTTTGATGCTTAGCTGTTACAGATTTCTCATTTGTTTTTGTGTTTGTTAGCTGATATTCCTAATTTATTCAAAGAACGGTGACTCTGTTCTTATCTTCCTAATTTACTCTCTTAATTTTGATGGACAAATATGTTGTGATTTTTATATTTAAAGCTACAAAAGGCATTGAAAACATAGTATATTACTATCAATGGAATTTAAATCTATTATTTTGCAATTGATGGATAAGATGGTTGTTAATATGATGTTATGCAGAGTGGTGTTGGTTCCATTAACAAGGCAAAGATAGTATGACAGTGTTCCAAAACCACATTGCTATCATTTATTACTCTTAAAGAACCACAAAAGGAGGTCTTCTAATAGCAGAGGCTACAAAAGTTTCTGACACTACCCAAGGGTACACTGATACTCCTGGAATATGGACAAAGGAGCAAGTGGAATCCTGGAAACCAATTGTAAATGCAGTGCATGACAAAGAAGGAATCTTCTTTTGCCAAGTTTGGCATGTAGGCAGAGTTTCCAACACAGGTCATTAACTCACTTGGAAGAGAAACTTAATGTATCACTAAATGTAACTTTTGTGCGTCTTGATTGACTCCTATCTACAGGTTTTCAGCCCAATGGCCAGGATCCTATCTCCTGTACGGACAAGCCACTAACACCTCAAATTCGTTCCAATGGCCTAGATGTTGCAGAATTTACCCCACCAAGTCACCTGACAACAGATGAAATTCCTCACATTGTTAATGATTTTCGGCTTGCTGCTACAAATGCCATTGAAGCTGGTAAAAATTTCTTCTAAAGTTCACTGATTGGTAAAATAGAGCAATTTTGACATGTCCTACGTAGAAAAAGGTAAATTTTGTTTAAAATATTTCAACTCATTTCATATTGTATATGTTTGGAGTCTGCTACCAATATCCTTTTGCCGGTTCAACTGACATATATGAACTCTGAATTAGAACGTTTGCTGCAAACAATACAACAGAGAGACAAGAAATGTTTTTTGTAACTTAAATCTTGCACAATATTTTCTGAAATTAATTGATGAGTTGATCAGTTATGATGTACAATACTTTCATTGAATAACTTATCATGTGCTATCACATCAGTATTGTCTTCAAACTAACATTCTTTCAAATCAAGTTTGTGTTATGTAATCTGTTCCATTTGTAGGATTTGATGGGGTTGAGATCCACGGAGCTCACGACTATTTAATCGACTAGTTTATGAAAGAAAAAGTCAATGATCGAACTGACCAACATGGAGGGTCTTTAGAGAATCGTTGTAGATTTGCACTGGAAATAGTTGAAGCTATTGTAAATAAGATAGGAGCTGACAGAGTTGGAACAAGGCTTTCTCCATTTGCTGACTACATGGAATCGGGAGACTCAAACCCACGTGCTTTGGGCCTTTACATGGCTGAATCCTTAAATAAGTATGACATTGCATACTGCCACATCGTTGAGCCTAGAATGGAAACAATTGGGGTAGAAGTTGAATGCCCTGAAAGCCTTGTACCTTTGAGGAAGGCATTTAAATGTACTTTTTTGGTAGCTGGTGGTTACGATAGAGGAGATGGAAACAACACTCTGCTTGAAGACCGAGCTGATCTTGTCGTGTATGGGCGTCTATTCTTAGCCAATCTCGATTTACCAAATCAATTTGATCTAGATGCTCCTCTCAACAAGTATAAAAGGGAGACATTCTACATATCTAATCATCTTGTTGGCTATACTGACTATCCATTTCTAGAAACCACGGCATGATGCCAAGGGTTAATAGATACTTCTTGTCTCACAAAAGAAATGATCTATTAATAAAGATCACTAACTTTTTCTGCATTTGAATTCTGTATGTTTTCATCATTTTTAATGATAAATAAATCCACGCTCTACCGATCATTCTGAGTTATTTCTTAGCTGTAATGACCCGGAAGATCATTTGTGGAAATTTTAAATACTCATTAACTAAATTAATTGATGGGTAATTATAGATAATTGACTTAATTGATAGTTAATAGGTTAAAGTGATAATTTATTTGAAACCGTACTATATTAAAATAAGTAGTAGGGTTACCACTATTATAAAAACCAAAAAAAATAAGAAGAATAGAAAAATTACCCGGGTGGTGTCGGACGATAGAGGCGGAGAAAGCACGGTCGATGCCATGATGAGAAGACCCAAATTTTCTTCATGTAACAATTTTGTTTGAGAAAAAAAAAGATTTGGAATTTTCCTTTCTTTTAAAACTTTGCAATCATCACTTCCAAATATTATAAGATAAAATATTGGTTTGATTTATGAGAAAACTAACACCAATAAATTCCATTATCACTTTGGTTTTTGGAAAAAATAAATTGTGTTACAGATTGATGTTTTGGTGGGAAAAAATAAATAAATAAGCCAATGGAGGATTAATTATTGGAGTAATTGTGGTATGTGGGTGTGAGTGCACTATTTCAAAAGGTATCAACACATAAGTATCATGGTTTCGATTCTTGATTGAAAGTTTATTGTGTGCTATCACTTGATCAAGTTTTGTTATTAATAACAATCATAATTAAAACATGTGTATTAATTATTTCAATTGGTTAGTTAGTTAGTTAGTTTCCATTTTATAGTTAGTGATGTCATAGTTAGTTATATAACAAACTAATTAGTTAGTTAGATATTCTTTTCTTTTCTAACAGATTGATTCATCCAATTCACATGTATATATACAACTCATGAATGATGAATGAAGTAACAATCTTTCTACAAAATACAATCTCAAAATCTGCATTACTCTTCCTCTCAATTCCCAGTTAAAGAGCTTCATAGCCTCGTCCATGGCTGCTCTTGTGTTGCTTGCAGGTTTTTAATATGGTATCAGAGAAAACGGTTAATTGCTCTCTTCTTCTTCTTCTGGTTATCTATTTTGTTTGTTATCCTCAATCGATAACAAGGTTTGAAGTTTCTGTGTTAATTCACAACCTTCTCTTCAGAGTTCCATCTCTGTTTCCTTTCTTTTTCTTATCGAACAGTTCATAGTAAGCTTTGTTGTGTGAATTCATGGCTATCGAAAATACTACATCCACATCTGAGGGAACTAACACATCTGGAGGTGATACTAATGGTGTTTTGTATGTGCATCCCTCAGACAATCCAGGAATGATGCTTGTACCTGTTCAGTTTGATGGAACAGGATATAGGTCTTGGAGAAGAGGTGTCATGAGGGCTTTATCAGTGAAAAATAAGTTGGGTTTCATTGTTGGAAGCTGTGAGAAACCAAATGCCAATTCACCTCAATTATGTCAATGGCAGAGGTGTGATGATATGGTAACATCTTGGATTCTGAACTCTTTAAATAAGAAGTTTTAGACAATGTGGAATATGTAAACAATTCTGCTGAACTTTGGAAGGAGTTGGAAGATAGGTATGATCAAACCAATGGAGCAAAATTGTACTAAATCCAAAAGGAGATCAATAATCTCACACAAGGAGTTTTAGACATCACTGTCTATTACACAAGAATGAAGAAGTTGTGGGAAGTGTTGAATACTTTGAATGTGAAAAATCATTGTAGTTGTGTTTGTGTATGTGGTGCAAAGGATGGTATGCACAAGGCTGAAAAAGATAGGCGTTTAATTCAGATTCTTATGGGATTAAATGAAGTGTACACAGTGATAAAAGGAAATATCCTCATGATGAATCCACTTCCTTCCACGGGTCAGTCTTTCTCATTGTTGATCCATGAGGAAAAACAAAGAGAGTTTAAGCCTATTGGTAGGATGTCTACAGATTCAGTTTCTTTGAATGTTAAAGCTGGTGATAACAAAGGCCATGGAGAAAGACTTTTTAGAACAAATTTTCAAGGACACAATTATGCAAATGGTTATGGAAATCATGGTGATGCTAATAATAGTTTAGGAGGAAATAGTAACAACAGTAGAAGTGCCATAGTGTGTGACTATTGTAAGAGGACTGGGCACATCAAGGATAAGTGTTACAAGTTGCATGGGTATCCTCAAAGAAGTAACAATCAAAATTATAGACCAGGGAATTACAATGGTGGTCAGAGTTTTAGACAACAAAGCTCAAATTATAATGGAAAGAAAGTGGTAGCAAATGTACATGATACTGTAAGTGACGTGGTGTCTGCTAATGGAGAGGAACAATCACAATCACAAGGTGACAATTTAAAGAATGTTAACTTCACGAAGGAACAATATGGACAGATCATGAGCCTATTGCAACATTTCCAAAATGAGAATATGGGAGAAGATGCTAATACTAATAATGCTTCTGGTATGACTGCTGGATCAATGAATTTTGTAGGTATTGTGGTTTTCTCTTCCTCTACTGTTTTTGACAATCCTTCATGCAAATGTTTTGAATCAAGTGCTAATTTGTGGATCATTGACCCAGGAGCATCAAACCACATAACTTTTAGTAGAAACTCTCTAATCAATATCAGAACCTTACCTTTTCCTATACTATTTTCTCTTCCAAATGGATACAAAGTCAAAGTAACAGAGTTTGGAGATGTACCAATCACATCTAGCATCATTTTACATCAAGTTTATATGTGCCTTCTTTTAAGTATAATCTAGTTTCAGTTCATTCCCTAACCACTACCATGAAATGCATAGTCATGTTCACTAATGCATTGTGTCTATTGCAGGCCCCTTTAGTGAAGAGTCCTCAGGTTCTTGGTAATTGTAGAGATGGGCTTTACTTCTTATGCACAAAGTGCTTGAAGACCTCTGATAGAATCAATACATGTCAGATTTGTTGTTGTTTTCCTAATAATAGTTTGTTTTCTAGTTCCATTAAAGATGAAACATGTACTTCTTTTTCTGCCAATTCTTGTCCTCCAGATCAATACAAAGTGCTTGTTTCTAATTCTGTTCCTCTTAAGTGTAAACCTTATTCTAGTAGTGTGGATGTTCTGGATGATCACAACTCTTGTAGTACTACTGGATATAATGTAGATTTACTGTGGCACAATAGACTTGGCCATGTACCTTTTATTAAAATGAAAAGTATCACTGGTACCAGTCATTTTTTCTCCCAAACAACGTTTTTCCTGAAACATTTGTCCAATGTCAAGACAACAAAGATTACCTTTTAGTTATAGCATAAGCCAAACCAAATCCATTTTTGAACTTCTACACATTGACTTATGGGGACCTTATCATGTATCCACCTATGACAACTACAAATATTTCATTACATTGGTAGATGATTATAGCAGATCAACTTTGACACATCTCTTAAGTACCACGAGCAATGCTCTACAGGTTTTGAAAAACTTTATAGCTACGGTGGAGAATCAATTTAGTACCACAGTCAAAGGCATTAGAACATACAATAGACTGGAATTTACTAATAATGGAACACACCAATTTCTTTCATCCAAAGGGATTATTCATCAGAAAACTTGTCCATACACACCTCAACAAAATAGTATAGTGGAAAGAAAACATAAATATTTGTTGGAAACAGATAGAGCTCTTTTATTTCAATCTAAACTACCTATAGGATATTGGGGAGAGTGTTTTTAACATCTACACATCTTATTAACAGACTTTCATCAAGTCATTTGAAAAATAAGTGTCCATATGAAGTATTGTACAATAAGAAACCAAACTATAGCAAACTTAGATCCTTTGGTTGTCTTTGTTACCCTACTGCCCCAAAAGTACTTAGAGATAAGTTTGAGCCAAGAACTACTCCACATATTTTCTTGGGATATCTTTTTGGAACAAAAGGTTATAAGGTAATGAATCTGGCTACAAAGAAGATACATATCTCCAGGGATGTGATTTTCCATGAACATGTTTTTTCTTTCACTTTATCAACTGAAACTATCTCTTTTTCTTCTGTTTAGAAGTCTTTTTTATCTCCTGATTATACTGATTTGGATTCATATAAAAACTATGTAAATGATTGTGACAATGTGACTGATACAACTCCTTCTCATCTACCTAATCAAAGTACTGAAAATCCTAATACACCTTCCACCACTGCCATTACATCTTCAACATCATCTCAACATGATACTTCCATAGTAGTACAGAGAAGATCTCATTGGAAAATAAAATACCATCACATTTAAAAGACTATATTGTCAATATTCCCAATTTGAAATCAGCCAACACCAACACACAAAACACACAACTCAACACCAACTTATCCCTTGCTGCACTATTTACCAAACACCATCATATATCTCCTAAAGTCATTGCATCTAATTGCCAGTCACTTGTTGAGAACATTTGTCATGATAGTGAGCCATCATCATATGAGGAAGCATCACTAAACCCTGCATGGCAAAAGGCTATGACACAAGAATTTGAAGCATTGTATGCTAATGATACTTGGGATCTAGTTGCTTTACCACCAAATAAACAAGCAGTTTGATATAGGTGGGTGTACATAGTTAAACATAAAGCAGATGGAAGCATAGAAAGGTTCAAGGCACGACTGGTTGTGAAAGGATATACACAACAGGCTGGAATTGACTACACTGAGACTTATTCACCTATGGTTAAAATGACTATAGTGAGAACTTTGATAGCTTGTGCTGTAAAGAAAGGTTGGGGTATGTTTCAACTTGATGTAAATAATGCATTCCTTCATGGAGATCTTCATGAAGAGGTTTACATGAAATTACCTCCAGGACTTGAAGTGCCTAATTCAGAACTGGTTTGTAAGCTGAAAAAGTCTCTTTATGGTCTTAAAAAAGCAAGTAGGCAGTGGTATTCTAAGCTAACTGAGACATTGTCATCCAGAGGTTACTCACATTCACATTTTGATCACTCTTTATTTTATAGAAAGGAAGGATCCTTGGCAGTGTTTGTTGCAGTATATGTGGATGATGTTATTTTAAGAGGCACAGACACAACTGAGATTGCACAACTGAAAATATATCTGGATAACACTTTCAAAATCAAAGATATTGGAAGACTTCATTATTTTCTGGGCTTGGAGATTCTTGATACAACAGATGGAGTACTCATTTCTCAGAGAAAGTTTATTTTAGACTTACTCAAAGAATATGATTGTTTCAATTATACACCCTTGTCTTCTCTTTTGGATCCTACTATTAAATTGAGAGCCAAGGAAGGAATTGCTTTGTCTGATCCCACTTTCTATAGAAAGTTGATAGGCAAGTTAAATTTCTTAACTAATACTAGATTGGACATAGCTTTCAGTGTATAACATTTAAGCCAATTCATGCAAGATCCACGAGCTTCACATCTACAAACAGCTTATCATCTACTTAGATACCTCAAAAAGGATACTACTTTAGGAATTCATTTGTCTAAAGACCCTAAATGCACAGTTCAAGCATTTTGTGATTCAGATTGGGCATCATGTCCAGATTCAAGGAGATCAGTCAGTGGCTATTTAGTATTACTTGGGAATAGTCCTATTAGCTGGAAATCTAAGAAACAAGAGACAGTTTCCCTATTATCAGCTGAAGCAGAGTATATATCACTCCGAAAGGTTGTGGGAGAGTTAACTTGGATTCACAGATTGCTTACTGAATTGACTGTTTCTATTTCCTCTCCTATTAGTGTTCATTGTGACAGTCAATCTGCTATCCACATTGCTCGTAATCCTGTGCTTCATGAGAGAACTAAACACATTGAGGTAGATTGTCATTTCGTACGTGATAAGCTTCAGGAGGGGCTCATTTCTTTACATCATATGTCTACTTCTGATCAACTTGCTTATATCCTTACTAAGGCACTCACTGGCATCAAAATTTCATCCATTTTGCACAAGTTGGATGTGAAATCATCACCTCCAACTTGAGGAGAGGTATTAACAATCATAATTAAACATGTGTATTAATTATTTCAATTAGTTAGTTAGTTAGTTTCCATTTTATAGTTAGTGATGTCATAGTTAGTTACATAACAAACTAATTAGTTAGTTAGATATTCTTTTCTTTTCTAACAGATTGATTCATCCTAGTCACATGTATATATACATATCATGAATGATGAATGAAGTAACAATCTTTCTACAAAATACAATCTCAAAATCTGCATTGCTCTTCTTCTCAATTCCTAGTTAAATTCATAGCCTCGTCCATGGCTGCTCTTGTGTTGCTTGCAGGTTTTTAATAGTTATATTAAAATAGATTATTAAATATTAGGTGTATTAAATTATGTGCATATTATTAGATTTATAATATTAGAGAAATTGATCTTATTGTGATTATTTGTTTGAATAAATTGTAATTATTTGAAAGTCCAAGGAAAGGGGTAGGCTCAAGTCTCAGAGTGATTGTTCGACTGTTTGAGGCAAGCGAATTTCTAAAACCTTGTTAAGTGTATGAAATATGTGTATTTCCTTGTGATATATGTTTGGGAGTAATGGGAATTTGTGTTTGGTTGACTTGTACATATTGATTAATTCTAATGACGAAAACAAAGGGTAATAAAAGGTAGTGTAAATAATTGGTTGTGTGTGATGTGTTGATAATAGAGAATGGTTTGAAAGGCTTGTTGAATCATTGTTGATGTTGTTGTGAAGTGTGCAATGTTATGAAAGTGGTGATATCCTCTTTATTTGTGTGAACATATCATTTGCATTATTCTGAGACATAGTTGTGAAAAGTGTTACGTGCATTGAGAAAGAATAAGAACTTATAAAGGACGAACCATTTCGAGGGACGTATCGCGCCCCGCAATAGATACTATATTTCATTGGACGTATCGTGTGCCGTGATGGTTACTATTATCGAGGATCATGTTGGGCGCTGCGACAGATGCATAGACAGGTATGTTTCCCATGGATCTCAGACTGAGAGATAGCGGGTGTGTATCACTAGGTTAGACATGCATCATTATACTTGGTATTGCATTCAATTGCACTATATATACTTATCATTAGTGAACTTGATATTGTATTTTGGTGATCTTGTGATAGTCTTTCTGCAAAATTGTGATTGATGAATACTGAGCTTGTTATTGAGGATATTTAATTTGTTCGAAGTGTTGTTGTTATGTATATGTAAGTTATTGAAGTGTTTTTGTTAAGGATAGGTATTTTGTTTAAATGTTGTTGTTGAGGATATGTAATTTGTCAAAGTGTTGTTGAGGAAGATATGTAATTCGACTAAGTGTTGTTGTTGAGCTACGTGCTGTGTAAACTGTGAGCTGTTAGGATGGACTGATTTTTATGCAGGTTTAAGTTGTGGAGGTTTGGTATGGATGGTAGGAGTACCCATATTTCATCCCCTTAGCTTGTGTTTAGAGGTTTACTTGCTGAGTACCGTGTGGTTTGGTACTCAATCCTTGCTTCTATGATTTTTTTGTAGGTTACTAGCACGGACCTTTATGATACATTCTCTTCTTTTCCGAGGCTTCCCGGAGATTTATGAGGTAGTTGTTTCTCATCTCAGTAGACCTTCTTACTCCTGTTTATGAGTTTGTTCTACTCTAGAAAGTATATCATATCAGACTTATATTTTCTTTTGATTCAATCGTATACTTTATATGCTTGTACACGTGACAATAAGGTTTTGGGGTATAATTTAAGTTGATAGTAAATTTTCCGCATCTTATTGAAATGGTTGAGTTTTAGGCTAACTTGTCTTTATGGGATAAGACGAGTGTCATCACGTTCATTTTTGGATCGTGATAAAATGGTATCAGAGCCCAGGTTCATAGGTCTCACGTGTGTACAAGTCCAGTCTAAATAGAGTCTCGAGGATCGATACAGAGACATCTGTACTTATCTTTGAGAGGCTATAGTGACTTTTGGGAAAAATCTTCACTTGTTGGATCTGTATCGTGGGACTTGGTCTGATTTTAATTTTATCGCTTCACTCCATTATGTTTCTCTTATGTGATGACTCGTGCATAGTTCCTCATGTAAGTGTTTGGTGTCTTGTATATGTTTTGGATATTAGGTTTTTATAAATGTGGAAGCGATAGACTTATGGAAGGTTGTGTTGTCAGGTTTGAAATTTTTAATGGTTTAAATCGATTAAGTTAGGTGATAACTTAACGAAATATTTTAAGAATATTTAAATGATGAAGTTTAACAGTTCTTCATGAACGCATTATATTAGAAAAGTTATTTAGCAGCGAAAATAATAGTTGTGTAGTATTGGAAATATCTTGATTAGTTTGATTATTGGAAGTGAAATGATTAAAAGGATTGATAGGTAATGAACAATGTCACTTTGAAAGCTACAGTTGGTATTGTTGCCATAACATATATATGTTGCGTAGAGAATGATATTGTGTCAATCAAGGTTAGAATATCTTTCACAGATTGAGTGTATATAAAAAGGAATGCATATTGTTTTGGACTAGAGAACAAACATATTTGGTAGTGTATGTTAGTTACTTAATGGGACATGAATGTGTAGACTATTTGATTACAATCTTCTCAATAGGTATGGTATGTTAGTGGTGGATGTACAAACTTTCACGATGCGATACTAATGGTATATGAAAAAAGATATGTTGATTGTTAAAAGTGAATATTAACTACCTAAGGAGTTATCAATTGTATCACATGATCATATAATAATGTTCGATGTTGAATTCATATTTGAGAAATCAACTAGATTGCTAGTACGAATTGATGTATTAAGCATTATTTATAAGAAAGCTTATAGTGGTGGATGTTTGTTATTATATTCATGTGTTCAGGTTGTGAAGTGTATCTCCAAGATTTTAAATGAGTAGTATTTCATCATAAGCACGTCGAAAGTGGATCAATATTAGGATGACAAAATTATAGGTAAAGGAAGTCTCAAGGAGTATACTTTCGTGAACGTAATTGGGAATTTTAGTAAGAAAGTGCGTATAAAATTGTGTTAATATTTTGAATGTGATTGGTATAGTTGGTTTGAGACGTAATCTCGATAAGAGTTGACTTTGTGGTGATGGAAAGGGCTAACTAAGCATAATGGTAATAAGAATTTGTGATGGATTACGACTGAGGAGAACTATTTGATAAAGATTGTTGGTTAACTATATTTTGACATGGTAATGATAACTTGCGGGTATCTAATGTTATGATATGCTATTATTTGGTGAATAGAGGGTTGCAAAGAAAGTTGTGGTAGGTATTGAAACACCGCTCGAATAGAATTTAAAGGAGTTAGATTCATAATAAAAAATACTAATAAATTAGTGGAATATAGTTTAACCTTCAAAAAGGGGTGTGAGAGTAAGAATGTTTTCTCTTATTTCAAGGGCCAAGGAGGTATCTTCAGAGGGGTTGAAAATTTGGTTCATAGATACGTGATTTCATCCGTTTTGTTCAGATTATGATAATATTTAGTGTCACAGGATCACCATATTGTTTTTTAAAAAAAATATTAGATAAAACTTGAGAATAAAGTGTAAGGACGTTAAGCTCGAGTATGATGATTAGTTCATTTGTAT